AGCATACTATTTAGTCCAACGGTCAACAATGTGTCATCATCCGAGGATAATATCAACAAACCTCAAATTGTCTTATTACTCAACCCCATGCCTAAAATCTTGTAGAAAATGGTGTTTCTGGCATGGGATTAAGACATTACCTTCCTTCCACCGCAATTCTAGCGTACTTGATGCAGGAGGTCCATTGCCAAAAGCCCTAGCAACTCGAAATTAGTTGGCCTACGTGTCCCAAAGATTACAGAATGTAATATTAGCCATACATGGCTGGAAGGAATTAAATGATGGGTCATGCATGGCTGGAATTCTTCATCCCAAAGATTACAGAATGCAATATTAGCCATACATGGCTGGAAGGAATCAAATGATGGGTCATGCATGGCTGGAATTCTTCATTCTCACCAATATAGATATAGATAGATAGATAGATAGATAGATATATATATATATATATATATATGTTCGTCAACTTTTGAAGAGGACTTTTGGCCAATTTCGATAAGGACGTTACTGTTGACTGAGAATTATGCACCCAACTATATATATATATATATATATGTGTTCGTCAACTTTTGAAGAGGACTTTTGGCCAATTTCGATAAGGACGTTACTGTTGACTGAGAATTATGCACCCAACTATAGTTATTTTTTCCATCCCATTTCCTAAGCTGCAACATATTTTGTGTTAAGACATATATCCCCTTACAAGCCAATGTTTATTAATTTTATTTAATTACAACTTTTTATTAGTGCATTGCCTGTAAATTTTATGAGTGTGTTATATTAATCATGCCATTTGATTAACTTGTAACAAAAACCTAGTTATGATTAGAGAATCATAAAGATAAGACGAAGTTTTTTGGTTCTTCTAGTCATGACGGAAGAGATGAACACTTCACTCGGAGACTAACATATATCACGCTAATACATTTATGCGATGGGTATGGGAGGTTGTATGAGGAGGAAGGTAAGGTGCATAATTGGGGTGGAGAAATGCAGTGTGTAGCAAAGGCTGCAAACTGGCTGTTGATGCACAGAAAGGGCAGATTTCATGAGAAGGCTTTGGTGGGTGTGTGAGAGACTTCAATTCATTCTCCAGAGGCATTCAAATCCCGCTAGAAGGTTGGACAACTAATAGAGAGAGGGTACTATCAGGCGTGAGGGTCTCCGACATGAACAGGGGTATTTTCCTCTTCATGTTTCCCTTCCAATCCGACACGAGGAGAGTGCTAAACATAGGGAAATGTTGAGTTGAATTGAGTTATCAACATCACCAATGATGCTTTCAATCCATACGAATGCAGTGCCTACATCAATCTTTTCTTTTCTTTCAAGAATGAGAATCCATCACAAACGGCTGTCTACCTTACGCAAATTTTAGGAATACCAATGATATTTTCATATCACCACCCTTTTAAATTTTTATCATAATATTACTCTTAACCAATATATGTATGAATTAGTTACGATGACCCTTAACCAGTATATGTATGAATTAGTTAACAGCATGGAAACATAATAATCATAAAGCAAGAAAAATTTTGAATACATTAGATAACTTTATTTAACACCAAGTATTAGTATGAAAAATAAAAAAAGGCAAAAGTGCAAACAACCCCCCTGAACTTTATCCCCTGAACTACAAAAATGAACAAGTCAGTACTACAACTATCTAAAATCGTGCAAATTAACCCCTGAAACGCAATTCCGGCCACTTTTCGGCCCACAAGCTCAGCACGTGACTGTCCTTTTTCTTTTAATTCCGAAATTACTCTCGAATATTACCATTGTAACCCTTTGCCTATAAATGAACCCATTTGTTCATTTGCCTTCTTCCATCCTCTAATATGCTCCACTCCACTCTACACCAAAAACTCAAACAAATTTAAAGAACAAAGTTTAAGATAATATATATATATATATATATATATATATATGCATATATATATAATACAAAAAAAAACACACACACACACAAACAAATAAAAGAACAAAAAAAAAAATCAAAATCAGGCATGACTCAAGTTCGAGCCCACAACTTTTGCATATAATCTCATCTTTCAACTTTCTTCTGGCCAAACATCCAAAGTGCAATCTGATCATGAAGACACCTTCATAGGAAATGTTTGATCTTTGGTTTTACTTTAAGCCTCCAATGAGAATACCACTGAACTGCCATGGCATTTGAAACACTAGTTTCTCCTTGAAACTTCAAAATACTACCCAATTCCTTCCTTTTTAACCTCAAAGCCAACTGATAAGCTTATTTGACAGAGAGAGTACCATTTTGTTGAACAACCAAAACTGTTTGTCTTGAGTGGAGGACAAGCTAATTGGAATCTATATAATTCTTATCCAATCTCTTATCTCAAAAATTTCCTTCACTAACTGCTCATTCCATTTCCCATAATCAATCAGATCACTCACTCTGAAAATAGTGCATTGTTTGGTCTAACAGTAAACAATTGAGGAAAACTCATCAACAATCCACCTATCAACACTAACCACCGAGAAGCTCACAGCGGAGTTCTCCTTGCCAGCCGGTGCCACGCCGCAAGGTCACAAACGACCTCTCCACAGCCCATCGCCGACCCATGCCACCATCGTCATCGCTGCACCAGCCAGACGAACCACGAATCCTTGCTTGAAATTGCATATCGCTGATTCAGTCCTTGCCGCCGATTCAGTCTCGGCGTCGCCATCATCGTTCTTCACCGGATTCTCAGCAATCAACATACTTCTCGGATGGCCATCATCCACAGCCATGGTGACACCCTCGGAAACAACTATAACAATCAACAAGCTCTGTTTCGCAACCTCCGATACGATAGAGACCATCCTCTGAAGCCGATCAGATTTGCCGATGAATAGAGCGATGAACAATAAAAATTAAAATTAAAAAACTCTTAAATATAAATTTTAAATTAACCATTATATTTTTTAAACTGGCTAACACTATATTTGAATGTGTCCAAATGAAGAAGAAACACAACCGCAACACATAAAAAGATATATAATGAACAGGTTTTTTTGCTAATTAGGGTTTGATTAAGAGGGCAAGTGGGCTTCAATATTTAGTATACATTATACAAACAGGAGATTTTATTTTATTTTTTTGTTAATCTGTTCTGTGTTCATAAATTATTTTTCTTCAATATTCTTCAAGAATTTTTGCATGAAATAATTTGTGGAAGACAAAAAGTTCTGAATATACATGTGTTGTTGATGGTATTGCATAATCATCTTCTCTGGATGATCATGTTGAGAAGGAAAAAAAAAACACACACACACACAGGGAGAGGGTCTTTACGTATAAACCAGAGAACAGTGGAAACAAATGGGTCTTTACATCTCTGTAGAGAGAGATAGTTGAAATCTTTGTACAAGAGGGACCTCAAAAAAGTAACGACCCTGATACGTCTCAGTTTACAACACGTAGGCAACGTTTGGGAAACAAGTGTATATCACTTAAGGGGCATTGAAGGTATTTCACCCTCATTATTTATTTTGGTATTTTTTTTCTTAATTACAATGAGTAGTTTTGTAAATCTATAATGAGGTCGGCCGGAAAGTGGCCGGAATTGCGTTTTAGGGGTTAATTTGCACGATTTTGATAATTGTGGTACTGACTTGTTCGTTTTTGTAGTTCAGGGGGGTAAAATGCGGATTCGTGATAGTTTAGGGGGGTTTTTTTGCATTTTTGCCAATAAAAAATAATGAAAATGATGGCAGAAGTTGACATGCTGCAACATAAACAAGGCAGCAAATAAATCAAAAGAATAGATAGAAAGGAAAAGGCTGAGAAAATAAACCTGACTCAAGAGGCTGCACACTAGATACCCTCAAAGGAATGTCACTGAGAAGCCGTAAATGCTTCGAAAGAATTTCTAACGCTCCAAGTAAATTTCCAGAAAAGATTAGGATCTGAAAATTCTATTGGCAAGGAAAAAAAAAATAGAATTTGAAGAAATCAAAACATTATTTTTGCTATAAATAAGTCTCTAAAGAAAAGGAAAAAAAAAAAAATGACTTCGAACTGATGAAAATGGAGAACCCAAAGATTGTCACCGGCTAGTGAGCAGGAAGTGTTGTCTCCAGTTCAGTGACATGAAGCAAACAAAAATCAAACTGATCTGCAATGTGCATGACATTTCCTTTTGCCAAGGAAAGATGCCATAACAAAACAAGTTCAGCGATGCTTTTTATGAACACATGGCTCTCTTCCATCGCTCTATCTCCATTTCCTTGCATCCCCAATCTACCGATTTTGGATTATCTGAGAGGCATGTAAATCATCTTAAAATACATAATCTAAAATGTTGGCAGCAAACTTAAGCATATATAGATATAAATATATATATAAACTCACGTGTACTTTCTGCAATTGTACTATCTGTAAAACTCCAAAGATCTGCCTTATCTCCCCAAAACTTCCGGACTTTGATAGCCTTGGGCAAAACATGATTGTAATTAGGACATGGTTCAAAAGAAATACTAGTTACCAACAAGACAAATATAGATGTCGGATACCTCATCTTTATTCTCAGGAGTTGGACCAATGTCAACTGTCAACACTCTGGAACAAAGACGGAGAGCTGGCACAGTCGGCAATTGCTGCTTAGGGTTCCTAGAGAGAGCAACAGAAAGAGAGAGAAAATGGCTGGAGGAGCACGGAGAATGGGCCAACTAGCCCCAAAACCATTGAATTATTAGGTAACTCCAGTCAAGGCCAATAACGGGTTTTATTTCCAACAAATTTGGCCCAATTCACCATTTATGATGGTTATGGTTAGAGTTTTTATGCACTTATTAATGGCTTTTTGTCTACGATTTACATACACGCGCTTATAGTTACAATAAACTCATCAAAACTTGAAGAGTTTAACCAGAGGGCATGTTTAGGGAAGCAACACCTCCCAAAAAAATAAATATATGAACAAAGAATTAGCTTAGGGTGACGGGTTTTAGATTTGCAGGAGTATTGATCCATAGAAAAATCTGAATTCACGGAAATATTCTGGAAAATTTAATTCAGTTGCCATAAACATATCTCATGAATTTGTCTTGTACAACAACAAACAAACAAAAACAAAAAACAAAAAAAAAAAATTATTCAGATATGACCATGAGTTAATCAAGCATATAGATTCGAGAGGCGATGTCTTGAACCAACCAATTGAATCCGTTGAGCAGTCCTTCCCCAGTGTAAGCACTACAGCCAACAATTTTCCAGTGTCGGGTTTTATCCATGGCATCCAAGTTGAGCACCTGTACATATGTAATAAAAGTTAAATTGTATTACTCAGAGAATTCATTCGTAACAATCATCCTAGATGTTTCCTTTCAAGAACATTCGACTTTCAGGAAAAAGGTACCTCAGAGGAAGTGAATGTTAACTGGCTACTAAAGCAAGGCACAAAATCTACTATTCTTTCATTCAACATGTATTGTCCCCATTAGTCACATTGCATATCACAAGAACTGCCAATATATAGATATATGAAGAATATTATTACATGCAATATTTTCCAAATGAAACATACTGCACTGGCATAAAATGAGATCCATTTAAATTGGGAAATTAATCACAATTCATTTATTGAGAATTAATTAATATATTATAGAGGGATTTCTAGTATACAAGCTCTTGTGCAATAAGTGTTTCCCTCCAGCTGGACCCAATTCATCCTCAGACTTTCCGCATGAATGGATGAAATTTAAAGCTTTTGATGTTACCCAAGTTTCACTACAGATTATATGGACAAGGAGACAGACTTTAAGGAAAAAAAAAAAAGTAAATTGACACAAGTTGTGGTGACAAACCGTGGCTTGAATTTTTGAAACAAAATAATAGGGATGAATTTTTCAAGTTTATCAAACTATGATTATTTGTTCAAGGAATTGAGCATTAAATGTTCAAAATCTATGTTTATTAATAGCATATACAGTGTTAAACAAATACAGGGAAGAAAATTCTCTCAGAAGCCTTACTTTTGCTATTTCAGCTGGTGTGAGAGCACCATGTATGTCCTGCTTATTTGCTAGAATCAGTAATGATGCTCCTGATAGCCTCTGTAGTAAGAAAATAAAAATAATCTCTTTGTAAGATATTGATCCTGAAAACTGGAAGAAGAGGTGACAAATTGTAAAACCATTTCCAGAAAAAGACAAAAACTTACCATGTAAAATATTAACTTTAGTATTGCAGCCATAACAAGAAAGGCAATATTGATCATAAATATATAATTGCATGTTTCGCTATGCACCATGTGGCAAAAAAAATAAAAAATAAAAAAGCTATGCACCATGAGAAATTAAAAGAAGAAAGCCTTAAATAGGAGATACAACAATCTACATCAACCTTCAATCTTCAACAGAACAATCACACACTTCAAAGACATGCCTACACAAATAACTAGTTGGATCATGGTTGATAAACTCAATGACGAAGACATATCTTTGGGTCCATAAAATTAATTTAGAAAATTTATGGGACGATATATCGGTAAGATGACACTAATCTGGAATTTTAACACCAGCAACTGCAATCAGGTCCTAGCGACGTCCTACATGCTCTTGGAGTGTTTTTTGTGGCTTCACAAGTTCTGCTCAGATAGATCAATGTTAGGGAGATATATGATCGCACTGGAAGTTCGTCTTGGATATTTGCTCACTCACTCTCATCTAAAAATTGATTATAGATAGAATCTAGAATCCTTTTGGGAGTATACAATATCCTTTTTGGAAAATAAAAAAAATGACAACTTGATTTATAAAGCAATAAAATTAGGATTCTTTCAGAAAGCCTAAACTTTTGTGTTGTAGCAAACCTATTTTCGAGCCAACATCCCAATGGGAATATAAAAAGTAAACATCTAAACAAATATCAGAAAAGACATCATTGTAACCCCATAACATTATGTTTTCACTGTGTGATGCTGTTTTCCATGTGATTCACAAGTTGTTATCAAAGGCGCTCCACGAAAAAGGTGGTCACTGTGGGTAAAGAAGGCTTGAAGAACTAGAAATAAAATCAAATTCACTAGTCGAACCAGAGGTTACTCAAGAATAAATGTTATGAACAAAATAATCCGTGTCGTAAAAGACACATGTCATCATTCTGAGTTTCTTAACATAATTTGGGAACCAACATACTTTTGTGACAACCCTCAATGTTTTAAGGTGTTCCTGAAGAACATGTCAACTAACAAATTTTATAGGAATATAACTTATATTTACAATTCCAAAGACAAACTCTTTATAAAATAATTTGGTACTCAAAAAACAAGGCCACAGCCTGCACCTTATTTGTCATGTTCTTCATTCCATGATTATAACACCATACTCAAACTATAATGTGCATTCCTAAATATATGGAATCGTTCTTATTGATTCATAGGATACATATAGGATGCAAACCCCTCATCCATATGAATCAACAATATACAAGAGAAGTGCTAATAAAATAAATAGACGAGATCAATGCATGGTTTAATCGCAGGGAGTTTCACAGTTAGTTAGAAAGGAGAAAAAGACTTGAAATCATAAACAGTACTCCAACCCATACCTATTACAATATTCATAGTTTCATTTTTGTTACCTGGACCAAAATAGGCATCAGGTGCATGTATATGTCTAGGCTCGAATCTATCTTCCCGGACCCAAGGATACAGGGACACAACTAAATATTCAAGCTATGTAATATTCTTCGTTTACTTTTAAGTGTAAAATAATAGTTGTATGTAATATAAAATGTTCCACGTAGGTATTTCACTATTTGTAAAAGAAATAATGTAACCAAAAAAAACAAAACAGGAGAGTTTTTTGTACTATTATTTAATAAACTTGAATTTGGAGATGTTTGTTCGACACATGACGCTATATAAAACACGTATATCATTCCTAGTGATGACAATTTGTCCAGACTCGACAAGTTTTTGCCCAAGAACGTCCCTAATGGGACAGGAACGGTGAGGTATTAAATGGGATAGGGAGCTCCTGGTTCAAGGAAACGTCAGGTATTTGAGCATCCACCCCACAATCGTCCACCATTCCTTCTCTGCATTCATCGAGTCTGTTGGCTTCTACAGTCGACAATCTCATCTCCTACGGTTGGCGATCTCCGCTTTTACACTGTCAGTCCTTTATATTGTATCTATATATATGTACAGATTTGTATATATATAATTGGATTTGAGTTGTGTGTTTGTGTGTGTGTGTGTTAAACTATTTGTCTTTAACAAGGCGGGAACAGGGCTGTGAGTGTCATTTGGGATGGGATAACTTCAAACCCATTTCAGGTTCTAGACAGGTATGGGACCAAGTATTGTTAAATGGGTCGAGGTAGGGCTAAAAGAAATCCATCCCATACCCTCCCCATTTTCATATTTACTCATACATATGTCCAGTGTCGTGTGCCAGACACATGAAGGAACGGGGCTGTGAGTGTCATTTGGGATGGGATAACTTCAAAAACATTTCAGGTTCTAGACAGGTATGGGACCAAGTATTGTCAAAGGGGTCGAGGTAGAGCTAAGAGAAATCCATCCCATACCCTCCCCGTTGTCATTCCTACTCATACATATGTCTCAGTGTCGTGTGCCAGACACAAGTTCTTCACGCAATCTTTAAGAGTCCATGTAACATATGTGTTCATATATTTTCCTTCATCTTCTAAGTTGCACAAAAGAATGTAGCACAAGCAAAGAAGAGAATAAGAATGTGAATACCTCTTCTTTCAAAAGATTATCCAGCTCGAGTTTGCAATCGTCCAACCGTCTAAGATCCGAGCTATCAACAACCCATACCAAACCATCAGTTTGCTCAAAGTAGTTTCTCCAGTAAGACCTTATTGTCCTTTGTCCTCCAACATCCCATATATTAAGGGTATACCTGCCATGAACATATTATTTCAAATTTCAAAGTCCTCTTCACAAAAATTACTCCCAAAACTTCAAAATTATCATCAATGAGCACCAAACTTAACAAAATGAACTAAACTACAAAGTTGAATATAAAAATGTGGACTTTCCACAATGAAAATAAACTATTGTGAAATAATTGTTGAAAAAATCCAACATTTAGCATTCAAAATCAGTCAATCAGGTCAACAAATAGATTCAAGTTAGTAGAAAGTAGAAACCAAAACCTAAACCATCAAAATCAGACAATTCATACTACCAATGGATTCAAATTAGTAGCCAATTAGGTTAAACGATAATACTTAACGAATTTACTCTTCTAGCAATACAAACTTGAGAAAAACAAAAACGATAACTAACAAAATATACATAAAACTGAAAATAGAATGAGGGCAGAATAATGAAGCTCACTTGTCATAAGTCATAGTCTTGATGTTGAAACCTAGTGTGGGACTAATAACGCTTGTGTCCTCTCCATTAATTTTCATAACAATCGTAGTCTTTCCTGAGTTATCAAGACCCCTGCAACAACAATTATTATTCATCATAATATGTTGCCTCTATGTATAGATATGTGTGTGTGTGTGTGTGTGTGTGTGTGTGAACATGTTATGCTAGAGATAATAGGCATACACCATAAGTATTCGCATTTCTTTCTCTTTCCGCTTGATCTTCCGGATGATACTAAGAAGCCCCATCACTGCCACCACCTAACCCCAGCCAGAGAATGCTTTGGAATCTGTTTGATCCGGGATCAGTGGATCAATGAGACGGTCTACAAGATTGGATCAAGGATCGTAAGATCCTACAAAACAAGTAAAAATAAATATATATTTATATAATAATGAAAAAACTATATTTTAATTTAAATTAACATAGAATAAACCTAAAACAAACATAAGTAACATTCAGAATATATTGAAGATTTACTGGAGGAATCAATGGAAAATAATCTGGCATATCATAACCAAACCCTTTACATGGGCTCGACGCGCACTTGTCTGATCGGGAGAGGCTTACTTTTCTTATATTTTGGTTTGGGAAGGGATTACGGAAGTTTTTAAATGAATGGAAAGATGATCAACTTTCATTAAATGATTTATTAGATAATCGAGATCAAAGGATCTTGAATACTATTCGAAATTCAGAAGAATGCGGATGAGCCATTGAAGAGCAGGAAAAGCCCGAGCTTGCTTGCAGGAAGTAGAAATGGAAGCATATCAGTTTCAAGTGAATGGATACTCTAAGATAGAGCAACTTTTTTTGTACTTTATTAGTCGCCATGGGATCCAAGCTTAAATTAACATAGAAAAAGCCTAAAACAAACATAAGAAACATATAGAATATATTGAAGATTTACTGGAGCAATCAATGGAAGAAATCATCCTATAATTGATATTGTTTCCTATTCTCTCATTTCCTTTTCCATCTCTTTTCATTCTCATCATTTCTTCTCCTATATACAGGAGCCTCTACCATTTCATTATTATGTATGAAAAAAGAGAGAAAAACATCTCAGTAAAAGAGTAGAAATCGAGCCTCTAGTGCTCTTCCTCCCTTGCACATAGGCACTCTACCAAAGCACATAATATCTCATGTTCCTCTTTTACTGTTTTCACATTATTTTACACGCTATCAGAGCATCTGGTCCATTTTTATTGAGGTCATCTTCTTCCTTCGTAGTGTGTAATATTAAGTTTCGCCCCCCCATCGAGAAACATTTTTTCATCCTCCCATCACAATGGAAATGGCATCCAACTCCTCTTCATGAATCATGATCGCTGCTACTAGTTAGACTATAACAACTCCCAGTTCACCTTTTTATCTCTATCCGTCTAATAGTCCAGGCATTGCGCTGGAATCTCAACATCTCAATGCTGATAATTACTCAACTTGGCACCGGGTCATGAGAATGGCTTTATCTACCAAAAAAAAGACTTATGGCACCATCACCAAACCAACGAATTCGGAATCCAACATAGCAGAGTGGGACCGATGCAACTACAACTGTAAATTAACGGAGCGTTCGACGAACAGCTCAAGCTAGGCTCAACAACGGCTGAGTTCGTGTTCGTTTGTTTAGTAACGAACCGAGCTCAAACAAAATATATGTGTTTGATTAATAAATGAACCAATCTCAAACATCATCCTACTCGGTCTATTAATTTTTTAACATGTTCGTGAACAAGCTCGTTAAATAGGCTTGATTACAACTCGTGAATATGTATATATACATATATATTAAATAACTTCATAAGTTTAAGCCCATACATTTTCTTTTTAACTTAAAAGTTTAGCCCAATCCAACCCAATCAATAAAATGCATTACCAATAATTTTAAAAATAAAGTAGACCAAGCCCAATAGCATTAAAACAGTCCATACATAAGCCCATTTCTCTTTAACCGCTCATTTCCTCTCAACCCCGCACTCCTCTCTGCATCTCAACTCACCCTTCATTATCTGTCGATTTGCTCTCCATTCCAACTCACGCATCACCAAATTTGCGTCTCTCTCCCTTTGCAAGGGAGGATGGTGACCCATTTACAGTGGCATGGCATTGATGGCTGTGACAGTCACCGATTTTCCAGGTATTTTTATTTCCTATTTTGTATGAAATTTTTTTTTGATAGATATTTAGTTTGGATAGATTTTTGCATATATGTGTGTGTTTTGTGCATGTAATATGTATATACAAACAAGTTTGGAAAGCTTGTGAACGATTGCAAGCCAAGTTCGAACACCTAGGGTGGGAGCTCGATTCGAGCTCAAGTGGAGCTCGAGCACCAGACTGTCGAGCCAAGCTTAAACATGCCACTACTCGGCTCGGCTTGTTTACATCCCTCCTGACATTGCTAATAGTGTGATTTATGTTGATACAGCAAGATAAGTTTGGGATGATCGCCATAGTCATTTTTCTCAAGGGAACCCTACTAGTGTGTTTCAGATCAAACGATCCATACGCACTATCTCCAAGAGCAGGCATCCATCATAGCATACTTCACCAAGCTCAAGGCTCTGTGGGATGAACTTGACTCCTACAACACCATTCGTGATTGTACTTGTGGTTCCTCTAAGGCCATTCAAGAATACCAACAACAAGAGCATATTTATCAATTTTTAATGGAACTTAATGAGTCCAATGCTACTCTTCGTAGTTAGATCCTGGCAATAGTGTTGTTACCTTCTCTAAGTAAGGTATATTATCTGCTACTTCAAGAAGAAAAAACAAAGGGAACTCCATGTTGTCACTCTTCAACCTAATTATGTTACACTGGCTATAGGTGTAAACGAGCCAAGTAGTGGCATGTTTGCTCAGCTCGACAGTCCAACAGGGTGCTTAAACTTGGCTCGAGCTCAAATCGAGCTTGCACCTGAGGTGTTTGAACTCGGCTTGCAAAAGCGTTCATGAGCTTTTCGAGCCCAGCTCGAAACTTGTTTATAAATATACATATTACACACACAGAACACACAGATCTGGTGAAACTAAATATCACCGATTACTGTCACTATCTATCAAAAGAAAATTGTTGGTATAGTATTCTTCTCCTTTTCAATGCTATGCCACTATAAATGGATCACCATCCTCCCATGACATGAGAGAGAGAGAGAGATGCAGATCTAGTAAAGCGTGAGTTGGTATGGAGAGCAGATCGGCAGATGGTGAAGGGTGAAGGGTAAGTTAGGATGTAGAGAAGAGTGCAGCCAAGGTTGAGAGGAAATATGGGGTTAAAGAGTATATATAGATGGGCTTTTAGAAATCGGCTTATGTTTGGGGTTTTAATGCTAGGGCTTGGTCTACTTTATTTTTAAAATGATTGGTAATGCATTTTATTGATTGGGCTGGGTTGGGTTAGGATAAATTTTAAAGTTAAAAAAGAAAATCTATGGGCCTAAACTTATGAAGTTATTTAGTATCTATATATATGTACATATACATATATATACACACACACATATTCACAAGCTATAATCGAACCTATTTAACGAGCTTGTTCACGAATTAATGAGTCGAGTAGGACGGTGTTTGAGATTGGTCCATTTATTAATAAGCATTTATATTTTGTTTGAGCTTGGTTTGTTTACTAAACAAATGAACACGAATTGAGCCGAGGTCGAGCTGTTCGTCGAACCCTAGGTTCATTTACAACCCTAACTAGCTGCAGCCAAAGGTGATTATAATCAAAACAAAAATCGTACTTCTAATCTTTATAGTAAAGGAAAACCTCGACCTAAGTGTGATCATTGCCACAAGATCAAGCACACCAAAGCCAAGTGTTTTAAGCTTCATGACTATCCACCAAGGCAAGCCAATGTTGTCTCTACAAGGATTGATGCCCCTACAGCACCAAAAGCTGAAGTTCCTCAATTCACGGCAGAACAACATCAGCAATTGCTCTCTTTCCTCGGTACAAATACCACCAAACCCACTGTCAACCTCCCAGGTAATTCATTTTGTCTCTCTAGTTCCAATTTTTTTACCTTGGGTTATTGACACTAGTGCTTCTGATCATATTTCTTCTTCATTCATTCTTTGTCTCATGTTGTCTCTGCTCCTACAAACAAACCCATTCATTTTCCAAATGGTGATTCCTTGCGAATTTTGCATATTGGGAGTGTGAATCTTCAGACAAAATTCAACTCAATAATGCTTTTGTACTTTACTTTTAATCTTTTGTATATTAGTAAACTTGTTAAATCCTTGAATTGCGTTGTCACATTTTTTTCAGATTTCTGCATTTTTTGGGACCTTTTCATGAACCAGACGATTGAACTAGTAAAGAACATGGCAGTCTTTACTACTACCAACCTACTTCATCTCCCACTATTTTGGCTACTCAAAAATCATCCTTTGATCTTTGGCAATGGCGTTTCGGTCATCCTTCTGCATCTCGTCCCAGTTATTTGTCCAAGAATATTAGTGGCATCTCTACTTGTTCTAATTTATTGTCATGCTTGTTCTCTTGCTAAGTTTGCCTTTTCCCAATGGAAATAATTAATGTAGTGAACCATTTGAATTAATCCTTGTTGATATTTGAGGTGATTTGTCTAGAGAAATTATTAGGTGGTCCAGGACCACAACCTTATTTGTGGTCCCGACCAATCCTAAAAAGACACTTGGCATAATGCAAACAAAGTAAACGGCATTAATTCTCTCTCTACTGTGGAGACCCATTTGTTGTACTTCGTTTATGTAAAGACCCTCTCTCTCTCTCTCTCTCTCTCTCTAAAAATCTTTGCTCTCAACACATTCATCTGAGAAGATGAACAGCGCATGCAAGAGAAGTCATAAGCCTTTGTTCACCGTTAAAAACTTTTGAACTTTGTAACATCCAGGAGAAATCTTGTTCTTTGTTACATAGTCAAAGCATGAGGAAAGAATCAGTGTAGAATAACCAAACTCAAGTTGGTGGAGAAAATAGTTCCAGAAAGCATAACAGATTAACCAAAAAAAAATTCTTTTCTATACAGTGAATACTAGATATTGAAACCTAGTTCCAGTTTTCGAGAAAAAAATAAAACGGTTTCCCTCTTAATAAAACCCTAATAAGAAAATGAAATAGAGAGATGAACGAGGTTGAGGAATTGTGTAGATTCTTTCCAATGGCAAAATGGATGGTAAACAAAAGAAGAATTTGAACATCTTAGATCTGTAATTTTGTTTTCTCTTTCATTCTGTCCTTTTTTTTTCCCTTTGGAGTAAATAGAGAGATGAACCAGGTTATCTGTCTTAAATTTGTCAAAAAGCAAAGTTTGGAGAGAAGGGACGAGAAACAGAGAAGAAGAATGTGAAAAATTCAACAGTAGAGAGAGATTGAATGGATAGTTTTATCTTCGACAAGGAGTAAAGAGAGAAACACCTCAATTTAAATCTGGGTGTCAGGCAGTGACAAAAGGTGTGCTCACGGCATTGATGATGTAAAAACTCTTTTTTAAGAAAAGCTGATATGGCAATTGAAGATTCGTCCGGACCACTAATGAGGTGGTGGTGCCGGGACCATCTAATAATTTCTTGATTTGCCTATTGCTTCATTATCTGGTGCTCATTATTTTTTTATTTATCGTTGATAATTATTCTCATTGCACATGGCTTTTCATGATGAAACCCAAATCTGAAACTCAATCTCTTTTAAACACATTTTATGTCATGGTTAAAGCACAATTTGAACGATCAATCAAATAGATTCGAAGTGACAATGGCCTTGAATTTGTCTCCATGCATTCTTTCTTTAATGAACATGGAATTATTCATCAACAAACTTGTGTTGGAACCCCTCAACAAAATGGGGTTGCCAAACGCAGACACTGACATGTCCTAGAGGTTGCCCATGCTCTCCGTTTTCTGGCTCATTTACCTCTTAAGTTTTGGGGATAATGTGTTGTCAGTGTTGCTTATCTCATAAATCACATACCCACACCATTACTTTCAGGTAAATCTCCCTATGAGCTTCTTCAACATTCTGAATCATCTTATCGTCACCTGTGTGTCTTTGGTTGCTTGTGTTATGCCCAAAATGTATCTCCTAAAAAAATAAATATTCACCACATGCCATTAAGGGTATTTTTGTTGGGTATCCCTTTGCTCAACGAAGGTATCGAATATATCATCTTGAGAAGCATGTGATTTTTAGTGGTCATGATGTCACTTTTCACGAAACTATTTTTCCATTTTAGGATAAAGTACATTTCCCAAACCCGCAACTGATAATTCGATTGCTCCTATACAACCTATTGGTCAGCCATCCACCCCTACACAACCAATTGGCCCAGACAACAAACCCTCCAATTCCACGTCACCTATCTCTACTCCAGTTCCAATTCATCATTCCTCCATGCTCATCATCCACCTTCTTACCTTCAAGACTATCAATGCTCTTTAGCCACCTCTCCTCATCTTTTACCTCATCGCTCTAATTTTTCACCTCACAACGTACTAATTTAGCATATCCTATTCATGACTTTATTTTTATGATTCACTAACATCTAATCAGTTTGCTTACATTGTTGCTATTTCTGCCAAGGTTGAACCAACATCTTATGCTCAAGCATTCCAACATCCACAATGGCGTCAGGCTATGCTTGCAAAGATTCATGCTCTCGAAAGGAATAATATTTGGACACTCACTCGGCTTCTTCCAAGCTATGCCAATTGATTGTAAGTGGGGGTACAAAATCAAATATTGTTCTAACGACTCCAACGAGAGCGCTATAAGGCTCATCTTGTTGCAAAGGGCTATACTCAAACAGAAGGCCTCGATTATCATAAGACATTTGCTCCTGTTACCAAGTTAGTAATTGTTCCATGCCTTTTAGCATGATTTCTATGAAGAGGTCTACTTGAATCCCCCACCATGATTTCAACTACAGGGGTAGAAATTGGTTTGTCGAATTCTGAAAACTTTGTATGGCCTGAAACAAGCATGTAGAAATTGGTTTAAAAAATTCTCATTAGCTCTCTATCTTGCAGGATTCAAGCAATCACACTGTGATTACTCTTTATTTACTTCTACAAAAGGCTCATCCATTACCATTGTGTTAGATTATGTCAATGACATCATCATCACCGGTAATGATAATCTTGCCATCAAGTCACTCAGAGTTTTCACACAGTCGCTTTCATATCAAAGATCTTGGCTCATTAAAATATTTTTTGGGCATGGCATTGAGGTTGAGCGTTCTAAACAGGGGATATTTTTATCTCAAAACAAGTATGCCTCGGAAATTTTACGCGATGCTGGTGTTCTTGGTGCTAAGCCAGTTGAGTTCCCAATGGTGCAAAGGCAATCGGTGTTTGGTGGGATTCCTTGTATACCTCACTATCACTAGGCCAGAGGTGGGTCTATTCAGTTCATCTCCTTCGCCAATTTATGTCCCAACCACGAAAGCCTCATCTCGATGCTACTTATCTGGTATTAGAGTATGTGAAATCCTTTCAAATTGAAGCCTATCGTGATTCAAATTAGGGTGCCTGTACTACAACTCAAAGAACAATCACTAGCTATTGCTTTTTTCTTCGTAAAAGTCCCATTTCATGGAAATGTAAGAAACAATCAACGGTTTCTCGATCATCTACCGAGTCTGAATATCGAGCTATGCCATCTACTACATGCTAATTAATTTGGCTTCAATGGCTTCTAAAAGACCTTGGGATTGTTCACAAGAATCCCATACGACTTTACTGTGATAATAAAACAGCACTTCATATTGCAACTGATCTTGTTTTTCATGAACGCACTAAGCACATTGAGTTGGATTGCCATCTTATTCGTGAGACGATTCAAGCCGGGTTGATTCAAACTTCTTACATGGCTTCCGCTCATCAACTGGCAGATATCTTTACCAAGCCTCTTGGAAAAGAACAATTTCAACATCTCAGTGGCAAGTTGGGCATTCATGACATTCATGGTCCAACTTGAGGGGGAGTATTAAGATTTATTGGAGGAATCAATGGAGGAAATCCTCCAGTAATTGATATTGTTTCCTAATCTCTCTGTTTTCTATTCCATCTCCTTCCATTCTTATCATTTCTTCTTCTATATACAGGAGCATCCACCATTGTATTGTGTATGAAAACAGAGAGAAAAACATCTAAATAATAAAGTAGATATCGAGCCTCTAGTGCTACTTTTACGCATTATTTTACAGAACATATATAAATACATAACGAACATAAGAATTATACATTTAGGAAACATATAGAATAAGCCTCAAAAAAAGAACATAAGAGTCATACATGTAGGGACAATTCCACCTAAAGCATATTTTTCTATTACTTTTGTTCCCAGAACCAAAGGCATACGTCTGCATATTTCATAGTGCAATGCATTATAAAAATCTAAATATAACAGAATCTTATATTTTTCCAAACAAATCCTACAAAGATTCTCTGATTTTCCCCCAAAAGGAAGAACACATTCAGAAATAATAACAAAATCACAAATAATAAATTTTAAATGTACATGGAAATTCTAACAATATCAAGCAGCTCCTAATCAGAGGAATAGAGCAATTTTTTTCATTTTTTGTGCAAAGACAAAGAAGAGTACAGAGGAAGCTTTGAACTTTGAAGTCATACCTAAAAAACTTTGACCTAGAGGTGGGTGGAAGTGTAAACTTGAAATAACTAGCCGGAAGCCTTTGAAGTCGTCGGAGATCGTCGGAAGCTAGCCCGGTGGCCACCAGAGCTTCACTGCTCGTTTCTAGTTTCGCAAATGGTTCTCAGATCGTGATTTGGATGCTTTCTGTGTTTGGGATTGGGCTCCAAAACTGGATTTTGGACTTCAAAACTTTATAGTTGATAAAGATTGTACGGAGTAGGTTTTAATAGAAAATGGGCTACAGGCCCAGAAAAATGAAGAAAACGGAACACGATCACAATGCAATTATTGTAAAATAAATCACATAAGACTCAGATTAATTTAGTGAGTTTGGATGGTAGCATTGTACTATTCGAATCACAATTTTTATCCTTCAGCGATTTTTTATGAAATTTTATTTTAAAAAGAAAAGGACTATTTTCGACCACAATGCAATTATTGTATATATAAATGAACCGTTTTTTGGAACTAGGTATTTGGATAAATTAAAGATACGACATATTTTGTAGGAAAAAAAAAAAAGATTAAGAAAAGGGTTTAATTAAATAGCTAAACAACAAATTTCATGTTTCCTTTTTCTAGAGTTCTGGTAGATGAACCTCAACAAAATTACTAAAATCCTAACACAAAACTGTGTGGTGTGATAATATATAAATTTATTCTTTTTTATTCTTGCAATAAGTTAAAAAATTAAATAAATAATAAAGATGAAAGAGAGACTTTATAATTGTAAACTAAAACTAAATTAATAATGTAAATTAAATTTTAAATATAAAATCCTGTTGGGGTAGAGGTGCACTTGGGCGGATAAGAGCCCAATCCAAGCCCAACCCAAGCTATAAGACTTTTAAGTTTCAACCCAAATTCAATACAACGCATTCTGCAACCCAACCTAAGCCAATTGAGCTCTTGCCGAGAATTGGGTTTAGCTTCAATTATTTGAGTAATGATATTTAGACTGAATTCTCATGTCTATTTCTCAAGTTTACGAGACATTTATTAATTTGATATAGTGGATAAATCTGAAGGTAGGTCACATTCTCTACATCAAATGAATAAGAACTCTTAAACCCAACAAATAAATTTGAAAATTCCGTCTAAGAATTATTTTTCTTATTTGTTTTATTAAGTCATGATATTATGATGTTAATTAATATCATGAGTTAATAAGATTTAAAGAAAAATGTTGATCATCATTTGAATACACACAATAGATTTTGAAATTATAAATATAAAGTAAAGTCATAAGACTGTACTATTACTATGCCATCCAAGTAAAACCACTCATGCACAATTACATGTCTTAGAAGTAATTCAAAACCTGATGATCCATTGAAATACAAATATTTCAGGGCAGGCCTTTCAAGCACACATGATTAATTAGCAGTAACGCGAAAATTCATTCTCAGTTGGTATCACGACCGTACAGTGATACTTAATATGAATGATCATGACCGTACAACGATACGTAATAAACAAGCATAGCCCGCACATGTGAACGATCACAACCATACAGCGACATTTAATAGACAAGCATAGCCCACACGTGAACGATCACGACCGTCCTCCAATGTACGGTCCCACACATGAAAGATCACAGCTGTCCTATGCTGTACAACAATAGAGGATTCCAAAAAAATGACTTCCAATACAATAATAGTTTCTTGTGACAATTCACATTTCATAAGAATCTTAGAAGCTACTTGACGGGCAAGGAGAAACTGTTTGATAGTAACATTTTTGTATATCATATGCTTTCAGGCTCTGCATCAAAAATACAATGTGAAGCATCAAAATACAAACATGTGTATAGCAGTTTGGCTGAACAAAAAATGTTTTTCAAAAACTTGCCAAACTACCCCTTCTGTAGGGTTGTGAATGCCTGAATCACTGGCCTCTACTCAAAAAAACCACTTGAAATTATTATAACCAGTTTGATTATTCAACTGATAAATCTTCCAATCCTAGCCACCATCCAATTATGTACCAAATTGTTTAACCAAGAGGACAAAATCAGCGGGAATCGTCATCCTCTGAACCCACATTGAGAGGACTTGAAGGTGAATCGATTCCTTCACCGGCCGCATCTTGAGCCATCTTGTTCTCGGCCTCTGCCCCACCATCAGTTTTCTGATTATTGGAAGCTCCTTCAGCAGCACATCTTTTAAGAACATGCACTCGAGAATCGTCTTCTTCATTGGACTTCTCCCCGGTTTTCATCCCATTATCATCAATCTTTGATGAGCCTCCTCCAGCATCAGTTTTTTTCCTCTTGTTAGTCCTTTTAGGTTTCTCGCCGATTGGAGGATCAGCATCAACATTCTTTCGCTTGGAAGCCTTTTCAGGCGAGCACTCAGCCTGAGGAGTAGGCAAATCATGTTCTTCACTCCCATTCAAAGCATTAGAACTCTCTTCCTTCGCAGCACCTTCCTCTTTATTGCATTCCTCCATGGTATCATCATCCTCTTCATCCCTACATTGGAGTTTCTCTATGACACCCATTATTTCTCTGTTAACCTGTATGGAGGAGAAAATACGTATAGAAAGTCAAAAGAGAGAATGAATGCCAAGTTCTTTGGGAAGGTCGTGTTAGAATTGATGGGGGTGCGAGAGTGCCCTCATTTTAGGTTTTATTGTCTTTTACTCTATATTCAAGGAATCAATGAAAATCAATGTGCAAATAAATTCTAATTTCCCAAGAGTAAAATAATGTACTAGTGCCAAACCTTCGGGTTTTGAAGGAATTCTGAAATGTCAGTATGGCAAGTCGGACACTTCATGACATTCTTCTGTGAGCGAAGTGTCCGTCCACCAGCGGTTGTCCGCTCTTTCACGAAACTCTGGCCAGCAAATACACCTTCCAGACAAGGCTTGCAGAAGTTATGAGCACAGGGAGTTGTGAGAGGGAGAGTCATCACATTTTGACAAAGAAGGCAACTAAATCCTGCAAGGCAGAGACCATAAAAATTCAGAATACCGTCTCACCAAAGCCCAAGAGAGACAACATTTACACCAAAGTTCAGACACTGCTAGAGAAAGTTGACCCCTCATAAGAATACTTGGTTATTGGCACCTGGACAATAAGACCTAAGCCAGCAAAAATCTAATTTTCTTCAGAATTTGTAGATCCCTAAAAGCTTTTTTAATCCTCTTATGACATACAGACCAACTTATCCACCAGGTTTCAAGCTTTAATGGTAACTACTGATGACAAGAAAAGAAAGCGGGGGGAGGGGTACCAACCTTTCAGAAGCTTCTCTTTTACAGATATCATATGAACTTTCCTGATTGCTTTCCTTGTACTCTTTTCACCTTCGGCATTTCCTGTAGTTACTGGTTTTTTGCTGGGAGGTGGTGGTTTTTTCCATTTCCAGCATTCTTTTTCCTCCTGAGATACAAACCAGAATAATTGAATTAGAGAGGAAAAAATGCTAAAGCTTACAACAGATGAATTTAGCCCCCAAAAATGAATACCAGAGTATTTGGAGAGTGGAGAAAAGGAAATAAAGAAAGAGAGGGAACACGTGCAAAAATCTATCAGTAATTGAAGCCCTGAAGTAACGTTGTCTAGTGAACTTATTTATGGCCATCTATGTCCATAATCTGGAGTAGAATCATGAGTAGTTATTTAAAAGTTGCTATAGTAATGAACAGCATACAAAATCTCAAACCAATGAAGTTACAGATTAAAGAAACGGCATTCACTAACATCATAATCCCATGATGGACTCTCCTTCCTCTCGGTAACGTCGGTTGCTTGTTTAAGCTCGGGAATGACTGGCAGGGGTCTAGGCCGGTCCCCATACACATCGCTGCAATTAAAGTTGTTGAAATTATTAGCAATAGTTCAGTTACAGAGAGAGAATAAAAAATGGACCAAAGACAAACCTCGTCCATGGTGCAGGATCATTGTCACATCTCACAAAGAGGTACCTGCAGACCTTGAAGCCCTAATGGCAGCAAACCCCATCAGTGGACTTATTATTAAAGTAAAAAAAACAACCTGATAGCACACTTTCAATGTATTTGCTTGCAAATATTTACCTGTTTTCCAACCTTCCTCCAGCATTTATCTATTCTGTAGATTCCATCATACCGCAACACTTTCTCCTCTGGGGCATAAGAAGAACGCTTCTCCTTATGCGACCTTACCATTAAAAAGTCAATGCCACATAACTATCAAGATATATCTATAGAGCTATTCACAATGGGGTTTGGATAAGAAAAGTACAGAATTATCAAGGCCATCCAAACATAAACTACTCACTATTAGATCCAAATAATTTAAACCAGACAAAAGATATTGAAAAATTTTCCCATACATACCGACCGTCTAACTCACTAACCAACAACATCTGGATCCAGAAAATATGATATTTTCCAAAATCCAAATTAGAGATGCTAAAGTTTGATCAAGATGATATTACTTTAGACTAATTCTCTTCAACAAATCCAATCCAAACCAAAACCAGGTCACTGGATAAGAGTGTCTGAAATCACTGTTTAGCTCAGGGCACACAGAAACTTACTTGCGCTCAAATAGGTAAGAATACCTTAGACTATCTTAAAACAATGTAAGCTAGCATAAGACTATCACTATATGAGTTGTGTAGTAGTCAAAAATATAAACAAGTTCATCAATAAAGAACCAAGAGTGAACCCCGACCATAACTAACATGCATAAGCCAAGCTACAATGGTACTTGTCTGCTTTGAAACAGTCGATCATAAAAATGTCATAAAATCAACTCAATTCAGCTGAGCTTTATGCCAGCCAATTATACTTGCCAATCTACGCGACAGAATTAAATTTCATTAACGTACAAATGTCAGTTTGCAAATTTCCATGCAAATAATAGATGGGGGGTGCAGTTCTCATGTGTAGCAAATGATGAGAGTACCAAATACAGGGTCACCAACAATCTGACATCAAGGTTTATAAACTTCACTAGTGACTACATTTACTAGTGACTAATTCAGTCAATTGGCTTACAGGATTCAGCCTACCATGCAACACCATTGTCTGGATGAGCTGAGTCTGTATAAATGCACCAAGCCAAAAGAAGTTCTAAACACTCCAAATTTTCCCAAGCTCAAGCTGCTTTAGAAATTTTTGGCACTGTTTCAATTGATAGGAAGCACGGAAACAGATACGGGACATGGATACAACACAACACGGACATGGCGACACGGCAAATCCTAAAAAATTAGGACACGCACCCGGCGGGGACACGGCAAATAATAAATATTTATTTTTATATATATAAATATTAGGGGACAGCGAATTTTGTTTTAAGAGGAAAAAAAATAAAGAAGCATCTAGGGTTTGTGAAGAAGAATAAGAAGAGAGAGACCATCCACCAGAAGCGAAGCTAGGTACGATGGGAGAACATGAGAGTGTCAAAGATGATCATGCTAGAGTTTGAACCTTTGAACTAAAATATACGCATAAATATCTGATTGTTTAATATAAAGTTATTTTAGAACACAACTTCTTTTAAGTAATTATGTAATGACCATCATATTATTGAAGGCTATTAAACAACTTCTCATACTTACACTTCAACCTAGCTTGCTTTCTAAAACTTTCTTAAATTCCAAAAATGGGACACGCATGTCGTATACACATCCATGGCGTGTCCACATCCGTGCCGTGTACAAATATTCAAAAACATAAAATAAAAAATTCAGACATGTGCTACCCGGCGGGTGTCCATGTCCAACACGGGTTCTTTGCCCTTTTAGGTGTTTCCGTGCTTCCTAGCTCAATTGCCAACAGCACCATATTTATTTATTATTAGGTATGTTTTAAGTCAATTATAATAGAGTCCTATATTTTAGTCCATAAAATCACAGTTGACAGGCATATTATGAAGGTACTATAAATAAAAGCTAAGCTGGGCAAAAAGTCAGCTTGACTAGTTCAGTTACAGCCTTAATTGTGCCGATCATTCCATTATCCATATCTTACAATCCAAAAAGGCTATGCAACAAGGTAATTATGATGTTCAAAATTTCACGAAACCAGAAACTGCATGTGTGTTAATATCCTTATCTTACAATCATGTAGTTTTATTTTAGTTCCAGTTATTACCTGAGAACAGAACCATCCATGCATACCATAACAACTTTGTTAAATGACTGATTTTGCAGTCATATCCATATACTCTTATACCAATGAACAAGTGGTTCACCTTTTCAAGAAGCCACTTTTTTTTATAGAAAACGCACAATCAGAACTTCTAAAACCATGAAATTTTAATAGGAAAGACTACAACCGATATCCCATTATCTAACATCATGTAAACTTGAAGAGAGAAACCCATTATCTAAGATCATGTAGACCTGAAGAGAGAAATGATACAGTAAGTTTCTTTTCTTTTCTTGCTTTTCTTTTAAGTTTTTGACCTGTAACTTATTCTTCATAAGATAGATCAGTAAGATGAGAAATAATCCAGTCACAGAAATAAATTAAAAATTAAAAAAGAAAAAAGAAAAAAGCAGGAATACCAATACACTGGTGACCTGGTACATACCTAACTACTCGAACCGGATAACCTTTTCTGCAGCTAACTCGTAAAGCCTCATTACTTTTATCAAATGTCTGATCAAATGATTGTTCCTTGTTAGTCCTTTTGTTACCACTAAGATCCCTTCCACCACTGTTTCACACCCATTAGAACCAGACCAATGTCAGACAAGCAAAGGCAAAAAACAAAGCAACCATAGTAGAAACAAATTTATTATGGTAGTTGATAAAGGTGCCTAACTTAAGGGGAAAGAACACACGTGGTAAATGAAAGTTCAATTCCACACAGAGCATAAAAGAAGAATGAATAAAATAGTAGTCCTTCCAAGCTACAGCTGAGCACACTCTGTGTGATCTTAGAACATACATGATACAACATGTTCAAAAGTGAAAAAGGCATAAAGGAGGTCAATCTCATAGTAATGATAGAATGAGACACCACTTGAAGAGTCAAAGAAAACTAGGATATTAGAAGGGAAATAAATGCAGAGCCCATGTAATGAATCTGCATTCAGTATCACTTCCCCTCCAAATATGGCAAGATAATGATGAAATAGCATTCAAAAACCCTAAATCATGAAACAAAACGGTAGAATACTTGCCAAACCAGTCCATTTTAGAAACCAACAAATCCAGCTTTTATAGATGTTCAATGCAACTAATAGATGAAAGTACTAGATTATATGGGGTCAAATGACAACAAATATCAGTTCAAGTGTAAAAAAGTCGCAAACCTTCCGGTGTAGAGGAACCACTCCCCGTGATCCTCATCGTCCTCATAACCTCCTGAAAGTACCACTGATTGTGCACCGTGGTTCGATTGTCCACAAATACCTGAAACAGGCGGCAGGTGAATACCCCATTGCCTGCATTCTAGCCGACCCTCCCAACACTCCCCAACCAAGACACCCTGGTTCCTCTCTGGATCGTTCTCAGCAAGAATCGGACCGAAATGGTCAGGTGCGACAGTGACAAATATCCTCCCACTTGCCGCATTGGCCTTCCCTGCCTTCACTGCTCGCTCTGTAGTATATGCCTTATCAGGTCGGTTTTGGTTATGCACAAAATGATAAACTTTCTGAAGCCCTCCTGTGGCATTTGATTTTGACATTTTTGCCATACGGATGGCAGCCACAAGTGTAGAGTTGATGCGGGGCTGACTTGCCATTTTGGCAGGAATACTGGAGCGACACTTTATACAAGTATGCTTTCCTTGTCCCACCCATTTCTGGAAGCATTTTAAGCAGAAATTGTGGCCACATGGTGTCTGGGAATGAAAAGTAAGATCTTCAGTAATTAAACACACCTAAATTTGTTTCGCTAACATATCCTCTTACTTGTATGAGGTACATCTATGACTCAGATGCAGTTAAATGAAGCCGTAAGTTGACACTGAACTGCCTAGTCCATGACTCCACAGAACACCAAAACAATGTGAAATGTCTTTAAAATAATTTTCTATTAAATTTCAGAAATAAAAACCCACTTGATCCATGAAATTTTATTCATGAATACTTCAGTCAGGGAGCCGACAAAATTCAAATATGCAAATCTGTTAACGGAAATGTCAGAGTATTAAATTTCAGAAATTGAAACCCACCTGATTCAACACCAATTATCAATTAAGGAAATTTATTCACAGTCAGAGAGCCGACAAAATACAAATATGCAAATCCATTAACTGAAATGTCAAGAGTATTATTATAATGTCAGTGCATCCCAACATTAAAAAAGGGCCCACTAAGTTGGTTTTCTTTCTCAGATTGAAGAACAAAAACCTCTTCATTTAATTTCTGTCAATGAAATTGCAACTCCACAGACTATTAAAACATCATAAAATGCCTCCGAAAATGACTTATTCCATACCAGAATAGAAATATCTACTTAACCCAACTTCAATTGCCATATCAGGCAAGTCAGGTTGTTCATAGTTCCTACTCAGGACCACAAAAATCATTGCAAATAAGAAGTTCCATTAACGGAAATGCTCAAATATAATACTATCTCTGCTTCCTGACATCAAAGTGGAACCAGGCAAGTCAGGTTGTTCATAGTTCCTACTCAGGACCACAAAAATCATTGCAAACATGAAGTTCCATTAACGGAAATGCTCAAATATAATACTATTTCTGCATCCCGACATCAAAGTGGAACCACCAGGATGGTGAACAAAACCCTCGGAGAGCAGGACTGGTGAAAAGAAGCATTAGGATACACCTATTTAACTTCCTTAACTTGCATTGTTGCCACTGTCAATTATTATGGGGCATTAGAAAATCCTAGAACAAAGAGAGAAGCAACAGAACAGGAAGGACAAATACATGAAGTAGTTCTACAGAAACTATGGGGTAGGAAGGGGAAATACAGTAGATGATATATAAGAGGTAGATCACCATTGAAAGAATGAAGCCACAGATGGCTCATACAATCTAAAGTTGAAGGGAAAAAAAAACCCTACTGAAAGAAGAACAGTATTAAGCAACAAACTCAAAGTCAAAATAAGGCAATTTGACATCACATGAAGTATGAACTGAATTATGAACCCAAAAACTCCATAAGGGTAATCCAAAAACAATGAGAACCAGTTTCACTTATAGACTTGTAGCAGGAAATCTATTTAGGAAAAATAAACATCAACAACCAATGCCCTCTGGGAGTTTCCATTTCTGTTATCCAATACCACAGAGCATCTTCAGAGAGAGAAATGTATAATAAACATAACAGAGCTCTTAATCCTAATGAATGGCAAGCAAATGCTCACATATAATACCAATGAGATGAGAAAATGTGCATTTATGCAGCTGAAATTATATTTATAACCAAACACATACCGGAATAGTAACAAAAAACGGATAGAAACAGTAATCCGCAATTGTATCCCCAAAAAAATTATCAAAACTTCATCAAAATTTTGAGATAAAAAACGTATACGGAAAAGATCTATAAAGCTATAAACACAAGAAAATATGTCTTAATTCAAAAAAAAAAAAATTATTATAATTATTATTATTAAAAAATAAGCATATATTCAAATTTTCGAAATACTATGCATTTGAACTGTAGAGAGAGCAGTCAAAGCTTTGATCAAAACCTCAGGCATCAAGAATAACCCGAAAATAATCAAAAGAACGATAGACCTGAAGTTCGATCCGAAGCCAATGTAGAGCCATGCAATAGAGATTCCCTCAGATAACAGACACTCCAACATATATATACACACACACTCAAATCCTGACAATGCAAGACCAAATCGAGTGACAAAAATGCACAGAACAAAAATTCAATACCGTGACAGGCCTCTCCGGCAACTGTATACAGAACGAGCACTTGAAGGTCTCATCAAGAAGATCAAAAAAATGGTTCGTATCCTCCACCTTCTCCTTCCCCTTCCTCTTCGACTTCTCTCCGCCGTCGCCGTCGTCTTCACCGGCCGACTCTGCGCCCCCGCTCAAGAGCCGTTGTCGCTTCTTCGCCTTCTCTCTCTCCGTCAGCGACGCATCGGCCTCGATCGCCCGAATCGCGGCGATGAGCCCACCGGAGGCGTCGTCTCCTCCGGCGACGGCAGATTTTCCGGCGTCGGCGCCGACGAGTGTGGTACAGTCCGGACACCCCCACTGGAGTGTACCGGATAGGGTTTCGGGCTTGACGGCCAGGCAGCTCACGTGCCACGGCGTGACGCACGTGTTGCAGGTCAGCTTCTCCTCGTCCGGTGGCTTGTTTTTGCAGAGCATGCAAATGCCATCTCCGTCGCAGGGAAGTTGGCTATCGTGCGCCATTGGTAGCGCTGCGCACTGTCGATAGATTGATACAAAGAGAGAGGGAGAGAGAGAGAGAGAGAGAGAGAGAGAGAGACTGGTATCTAGAGAGTAGAGAGAGAAAGTGTTTATCAACCGTTGTGTAGGGTTTGCTTGGTTTACTTCATTTCTTGTAGAGAGAGTGAGGAGTCTATATATACACTCTAGTATATATGTGTGTGTGCATATATATATATAAGTATATTAATAGTATATTATATAAGTATATTAATAGTATATTGAAAGGTTGGGTTCAATTCATCCACTTTATTGAAAAAATTGGTTGAAAGTAGCAGTATAGATATATATAATATTACTGTATAAAGATTTTTTATACAGTAACTAATTTATGTAAATTATTCCAATATGGATATAATAAATTACTATTAAGTTTAAGTGAATTAATTAGTATATGAAAAATTAATAAGCTATAAAACAAATATTTAAAAGAAGTACTACGTACAATTTAATTGAATTAAAATAGTAATATTATATGACTTTAAAATATAGAATATAGAATGTGTACATTGCCATATACATATAGAGAGAGAAAGTGGGAAAAATATAGCGAGAGGGAAGGAAACCGTGGTTACTGGTGACTGTGGGTTTTGAAAAAGGGTCGAAGAAGGGGCGGGGTTTTGAATATCTGACATGATCAGGTGGGGTCGAGTGTAGATTATTTGGATACTCTACTGAAACTATTGGTGTTGAGCGTCACAAGTCAGAAATTGGACAACTTTGTTGACTAAATTCAAAGTCTACTGGTGGAACTTTTGACTTGTTTCTAAGCACACGACTAAATTGAAACGTCTGATTATTACTTCGTATTTTCCATTTGAAAAAATTGGAAAAGTTGCGAGAGAATGAAAAGGACACCGGATGACCCCATATGACGAAAATGTCCTTAAAACAGTACTTTATTACTAGTTTGCAATACTGGTATTTTAGTTTAGGAAAAGACCACTAATGCACGTTGTTGCAGTGGGTGTTGCGATAATCACGTGTTGTAACAAATATAATTTTATTTAGAGAGAGAATAAATTTGACGATCAATTTTATTTACTAATTACATAAAATAGAGATTTTATTTGCTTTTTAATCTCGATAAGAGTTCTTGTTTAACTCTATGAGTTGAAGTCGTACAAAAGATGAATTGCTTATTTAGTATTATTCTTTGATTTAGTATAATGTTTAGCAAAAATAAACTCCTTTCTTTTTCCTTCTAAAGAACAAATGACACATTTTCTCCAATGTTGGTTCAAGTTGCTCAAAGTTTTAGTGGATAAAAAGTTTGGATGGTCAAAGACATATATAAAAATTAAGGACTTGCTTGGTTTGTAATTCTGAAAACAGTTCTTAAAAATTTAGAAACAAAAAAATTTTCAAAGAATAATAAAAAAACAGTTCTAAACATATATAATTAAGTTTTTAAAAAACTCAATAAAACAGAGTTTTTTGTACAAATTTCTATTTTCAATTTTCTGACAGAGTTACAAAACCAAGCAAGGTCAAGGGTTTGTTTGGTTTGTAACTATTGAAACAGTTTTCTGTTTTTGAAAAACTGGAAACAGGAAAATATATAAAAAAAAAAAAAAAAAACTCTACTTAATTCAATTTTCTGAAAACTCAGTTATAAAAAATTCTGAATTCTATTTTCAGATAATAGTCTTTCATAATTCTCTTAAAACTATTATCTGAAAACTAAACCTATATAATGGCCATTTCATTTCCAAGTAAAAAAAATTAAAAATTCAACTTCCCAAAAATCCCTCATGTTCCAAATCCAAAAACCACCACTACTTTCCATCACAACCACCTCCGCCTTTCACCACCACCACCACCGACTTCCACCACCACCACCACCGCACACCGCTTTCCATCGCTGCCGCCACTTTTCACCACCGACACCGCCTTCCTTTGCCGCAACCACCACTGCCATCGCCATTACCTTTCACCATCACCATCACCTTCCACCACCACTACCGCCGCTACCACCACCTTTCACCACAACCACCACCTCCACTGCCTTCTACCACCACAGTCACCACTATCCACCACCGCCAACTCCATTGCCTTCCACTGCCACCTACACCACTATTTCCTTCCACCACCACCACCACACTACTACCACCCCCTTCCACCAACACCGTCATTGCCACCTTCCACCATTGCCACTATCGCCGTCTTCCAACACCATAACCATTTTCCACCTCCACCAGTATCATCACCACTATCCGCCACTGCCACTACCACCATTTATTTTAAAAAAATTATAGAAGAGTGTCATTTTGTTAATTTAATTTATTTGTTACTAAAAGGGGTATTTTGTATAACTTAATTTAAAATTAATTCAATTCTAAACTTTAAATTGGTTCAGCCAAACATTGATTGGTTATTATTATTCCATTCTTACACATTTTATCTTTACAACCAAACAATAGAATGAGAATAACCATTTCATTCCATTTTCATTCTCATTCCATTCTCACTTGCATTCCATTCCATTCTTACACACCAAACCATAAGCGCCTGCTTGGTTTGTCATATGAAAACTAAAAAATTGTAAAAATGCCAAAAAAAAAACTTTGTTTGATTCAGTTTTCAAAAAATTGTTCTCAGAAAACTCAGTTATAAAAATAATTGTTTTCAGATAACTGTTTTTTATTTTTCTCTGAAAACAATTTTTTATTTTCAGAGTTCTTAATAACAGTTTACTGAGTGGCAAAACAAGTAGACCATAATTTATTTATCACTATTTCAATTCGAGCAAATATTAGGAAATGATTAACAAATAATAAAATTGTATAAAAACGAAATTATTGTTATAGATATCAAACACGCATCGCACATGTTGCCAAACTTGTGAGGTAAAAAAGTCAAAGACAATAAGTTTAAGTGGCCAACTCAAACCTTGACATCATCCTAAACATCAAGATTACAACCATTCGAGTCTTAAACTGTGGCGTTTCCAATTTTCAGTATTTTTCATTTTTTTCGGAAGTTGTGTCGCCGTAAGGGTATTTTCGTCATTTCACGTTTTGTGTACGGGATTGTGGTTGGGTCCAATTGCTTTTGTGCATTTTAAATTTATATGTTTATGTGGTGTTTATCTAGTGGTGCATGTATTGTAATATGTGGTGCAAATTGAGACTAATGAAAAAAAAAAAGAAATTCATGGGACCCACCACCACCAACTTTAAAGCCTTGAGACCACATTTTTGGTCTCTATCTTCTCTCTCCCCGCTGGTTTCCCTTCTGAGTTCTTGCTCCATTTCCTCTTCATTTTCTTTCTCTTTTACATTAAACTTTGTATCATGATTACTTTATCAATTCTTGGAGTTTTTAAGTGCCGTTTGAGGCAAAACGGAGAGCACGACAAGCTCTACGCATGAGTACCATCAATTCCAACTTTGAGCCTCCCTAGAGAATTCGAAATTGAGACCCATCTTTAGGGTTTTGGTGCAAACTTGAGGTAGGGACCCTTAATTCATGATGTTCTTGCTCTTTTGTGAATTTTATCTTCTTTGTGTAATAAACATGCTTAAATTGAGAATTAATTGTTTTAATGTTGTGTAAGTGATGTCTAGAGAATTTCACAATCTTGAATATGACTTGTTCTATGTGAAGAGTATGTCTAGATGATGCTTTGTTGTGTTTATTATGTTGATGACCTTTCTAGAAATGTTGAACATGATATATGTTTGATTGGGTGTTGTAATTCTTCAAATGCCATAATATTGAAAGTATGAAATATATGTGCATACATGTACCATTAGGTTGCATGAAACGGGAGAAATTTGTTTCGAAATGAAATTGGGAATTTCGGGGAAGTGTTTTGGATAAAATGGTTTTATGCAAACCCGGTCGCTGCGGGGTTACCAACGGGCCGGAGGTTAATATAGCCTAGAGGGGACTAGGGAGTCGCCCTAGCGTGGTTGAGCTAGCTGGGCCCCATAATGACAGCGCGGGGTTACCAAGGGTCAGGGACACTAGCCAATCCTCCTCTCGTGTCGCGGCGGGGTCACCAAAGGGCGAGCTGTATTAACAGTTGAAAGTGATGATTTTGATAATGAAAATGGGGAGTGACATTGGCATGCATTCGCATTCCACGGCATTACATTCTTTGTATTCGAATTTGGTTGGAATGTTGTATTAATCCCCTGTGTTGCATGCTCCCTAATTCCCATTGGCCTATGCGTTGATTGGATTCACGGGGACCCAAGACGCATGTCTTAAGTGTCACCTACTGAGCATATAGCTCACCCTACTTTATATAATTTTTTTCAGGTCTTGGAAAAGAACCGGCGGATGCCAATCCACCTCAAAATTGAAAGTTGTTAGAAGATGATTTTTGCTACTTTGTATTCGGCCATTTCATGTATAATCATAGTTTTTGGAGAATGTAAATAAGTTTGCAAATGTTGGCCATTGGATAATGTAATTAAGTTTTTATTCAAACACAAGCCTCTAGTGTATTTTAGTGACGTGTGGTAAATTACGTTAATAACGTGGTTGTTGTACTCGAATTTATTGTTGAAATGTATTAATTTTGCACGTAAGTGTTGTGACGTGGGTGGTTGAACGATCAAAAGTTGGAGTACAGGTCACACAGGATAGTGGAAAGTGGGAGTGAAGATTTTCTTGAACCGGTCGACGTATAACCCAAACCGGTCGACCGGTATCTTCACAGTATATTTGAGCAATTCACGTTCCAAACCAGTCGACCGGTATCCATTGTAACTTATGTTCAGAACCAGTCGACTGGTATCCCAAACCAGTCGACGGGTATCATAGCAGTGGGTTTCCCACTGTTCATATCCCAAACCAGTCGACGTATAAGGAGTATACGTCGATCGGTTCTGCCTTTTCATGTAATTACCAATTTAAGTTCTTAAAATTACACTTTGGCATCATTTAAAGTTGAAATTAATTATTTTTATGACCCAATTAAATGCCGTAATTATATTTTTGCCCCAAAAGGACTATTTTACCCCGGACCTCATTTTAATTATTGTGTGATGCACGTAAATGACTATGACGTCCTTTGGGTCTTAATTTATTAAAATATGGCAAATTACCATCTTGCCCTTTTTGGAACTCAACATTTTAATTTTACGTGAAATTACCGTTTCATCCTTGGATGTT